CCGGAATTACAGGCATGCGCCACCACGCCCAGCTGATTTTTTGTAAAGATGAGGTCTCGCTGCCCAGGCGGGTCTCGAACCCGCAGGCTCAGGCAATTCACTCACCTCAGCCTCCCAAAGGCGTGGGATTACAGGCTGAGCCACCGAGCCCGGCTCAACACACATTTCTTGCTGAAAATTTATAAAATGCAGAAAAGCAAAGGAAATAAAAATCATATATTAATCCTGATAGATAACTACTATTAACATTTTTGGAGTACATTCCCCATTCTGATTTCTCTTCATATTTTCCCTCCAAATGTGGATAATGCTGTTCCTATTAACTAGATCTGTTTACTTAACGTATATCCTTCTTTTGACTTATAAGACTCTTTGCTTCTCATGTCACAAATGTTTTATCCAGTCAATGATTAACTTTTAAATGTACTTATGCAATATTTAATGTATAGAAGTTCTTAACTTTTATATAAGTCAATGGATTAATGTTATGCTTCATACTTTCTGCTTTTAGTATATGTTTAACAATTCTTTTCATTTAATTCCACATTTTCTGTTAGTACTTTTAATGGTTTCATTTTAACATTAAGGTTTTTAATTTCTGTAGAATTCATTTTGAATATAATATAAAGTAGGAACCTAACTTTTTCTGCCAAAATATCTTGCCCAAACCATTTAACAAAAGTTTAATCTAATCTTTCCCCTTTGATGAAAAAATGCCACCTTTATCATATGTCACATTTTTATATATTAGGATTTTTAAATCTTCATCTGAGTCACTGGTTTGTCTTTATTTTATTGTATTAGCAAGAGGTGATTTTAATTAGTGTATGTTTATAACATATTTCAACAGTGAACATGGCAAGTGCTCCCTCATTGTACTATGTTCTCAAAATGTTTTGGGAAAATGTTGCTCACTAATACTTCTGGATAAACATAAAATTCAAATTATACAACAAGGGAAAATAACATTCATAAAATGCTCTATTAAAAGCACATAGTGGCTGGGCTCGGTGGCTCAGCCTGTAATCCCAGCACTTTGGGAGGCCAAGGTAAGTGAACTGCCTGAGCATGCAGGTTCGAGACCCGCCTGGGCAACTTGGTAAGACCTAGTCACTACACTACATCAAAAATTAGCCGAGCGTGGTAGCGCATGCCTGTAGTTCCGGCTACTTGGAAGGCTGAGGCAGAAGGATCGCCTGAGCCCAGCAGGTTGAGGCTGCAGTGGCCGGGAGCGTGCCACTGTACTCTAGTCTGGGCGACAGAGTGAGACTCCAACTCAAAAAAAAAAGCATATAGTAAAATATTTTTTTATGTATAATTTAAAAAAGTTTCTTCATATAAATTCTTCGTATTCAGAATTATTAAGTTTTCAAATACTTATATACTTACAAATGGATTTTTTTCCTACTGATATTAACTAGCTTCTGCTAGGAAAACTTATAATCTATGCAAATATGTCTTATAGCTACTCTTAGTACCTTAGTACTTTATAAATATTAATTCATTTAATTCTCACAAAAATTCTAGGGGGTAGATAATACCAGTGGGCCATCTTATGGCTGAGGAGATGGAGGCATGGATTTAAGTGTCTAGAAAAAAGTCAAATAATAGATGGATATTCATCTTCATCTTGTTCTTAAATTTAGTGGAATTTTACATACCAAAATTTTATAATTTTATTTCTCCTTTAATCCATGGATTGAAATACATAGATTTAACAGCTATTATAATAGATTTAATAATATTCAACAAATTAACAATCCTGGGGTAAAGTTTATTTTAATATAATCCTGGATTGAATTTGCTACTGTTTTAAGACAGCTTAAAGAATTATCATAAGTAAGATGCCGGCACTTTTCTTTTTAAAAAATTATTTTTGTTGGTTTTGGTATAAGGAAGTTAAATGCTTATGCTTAAGCTGTCATCATCATAACACTTCACCCCAAACATCTTGAGAATAAGAACATTCTTTTACATAATCACAGTGTCATTATCACATTGAAGACAAAATTAATTCAATAATATTATCTAATACATAGCCATACTTAAATTTCCTCAACTGTAGCAAAAATGTCTTTTATAGTTCCCTCTCTACCCTGATCCAGGATTTAATAAAAGGTTGAACATTGTCTTTAGTTGTACCATCTCTTTTCTCTCTCAGCTTTGTTTTGTTTTTTATAACACTGACTTTCTTTCTTTTTTTCTTTTTTGAGTTGGAGTCTCACTCCATTGCCCAGGCTGGAGTGCCGTGGCATGCTCACGGCCACCCCAGCATCAACCTGCTGGGCTCTGGCCATCCTTCCACCTCAGCCTTCCAACTAGTTGGAACTCAGGCGCGCACTACCACCTGGCTAATTTTTTATTTGTTGTAGAGACGTGGTCTTGCCAAGTTGCCCGGGCTGGTCTCGAACCCACAGACTGAGGCAATCCATTAGACTCAGTCTCCCAAAGTGCTGGGATTACAGGCCAAGGCACTGAGCCTGGCTGACATTGACTTTCTTATAGGAAATCCCTTACTCTGTTTCATGTCTGGACTAAGATTAAATATTTTGCAAAATTACTATATAGGTGAGTTGTGTGCTTTTAAAAATATTATGTAATGAGACACATGATGTCAGAGAGCCCCCATCAACAGTGCTGTTGGCTAGCGCAGTGGCTCAAGACTATAATCCCAGCACTTTGGGAAGCCGAGGTGAGAGGACTGCCTGAGCCTGTGGGTTCGAGACCAGCCTGGGCAACATGGTGAGACCTGCCTCTACAATAAATAAATAAATAAATTAGCCGGGTGTGGTAGCATGCACCTGTAGCTCCAGCTCCTTGGAAGGTTGAGGTGGAAGGATCGCCTGCACCCAGCAGACCAAAACTGCAGTGGTCACTGCAGTCCAGCCTGGGTGACAGAGTGAGACTCCAACTCAAAACAAAAAAAAGGGCTAGACTCGGTGGCTCAGCCTGCAATCCCAGCACTTTGGGAGGTTGAGGTGAGTGGACTGCCTGAGTCCGTGGGTTTGAGACCCGACCGGGCAACTTGGCGAGACCTCATCTCTACAATAAATCAAAAATTAGCCAGGTGCAGTAGCGCATTCCTATAGTTCTAGCTACTGGAAGGCTGAGGCGGAAGGATCGCCAGAGCCCAGTAGGTCTAGAGGCTGCGGTGGCCGGGAGCGTGCCACTGCGCTCCAGTTTGGGTGATGGAGTGAGACTCCAACTAAAAAAAAAAAAAAAAAAAAATAGTGCTGCTAAATCTGACGACTGTTTAAGGTGGTTACTGCCAGATCTCTCCATAGAAAAAGTACATCATCCCTTTGTAAGACAAATAACTTCTGGGATTGAAATCTTAAAACCCATCAGTGCTAAAAATAAAAAAATAAACCGAAGGCATGTTGTTATGATAAAGATGAACCAGAAGCATTATATCTGATTGCAAAAAATAATCAGACTGGGCTTGGTGGCTCAGCCTGTAATCCCAGCACTTTGGGAGGCCGAGGTGAGTGGATTGCCTGAGCCTGCGGATTTGAAACCCATTCGGGCAACTTGGCAAGATCTTGTCTCTACAATAAATCAAAAATTAGCCGGGTGTGGTAGTGCGTGTCTATAGTTTCGGCTACTTGGAAGGCTGAGGTGGAAGGATTGTCGGAGCCCAGCAGGTCGAGGCTGCGGTGGTCAGGAGTGTGTCACCGCGCTCCAGTCTGGGCAACAGAGTGAAACTCCAACTCAAAAAAAGAATAATCAAAATATTGACATACATAGTACTGATAAGTTAAAGTAGTTCAAAATATAATTTGCAAATTTGTATTCTGAAACAATAAAAGCATTAAACATTATTTCTTTTATAATTAAAATGTGAGATAATTCTAAATACCAATTATCCTAAATTAAAAACTAGCTACAATTCAGAAACAAAAGGGTAAGTCATACTTGGATTTTACTATCTACTGATTCTGTCTTCGAAAGTCAAGATACAGATGAAGAATTCTCAAACTTTTTGGTCTAAGGATACTTTAATACTCTTAAAATTACTTAGGACCCCAAAGAACTTTTATTTATATAGGTTTTACCTATCAATATTCATTATATTAGAAATTAGAATGAAATCTATTTAAGTATATTTTAGTTCACTTGAAAATAACAGTAACAAACCATTGTATTAATAAAAACAACATACTGTTTATGAAAAACAACTATGTTTTTCAAAACAAAAAAGTGAGAAGAGTGGTACTGTTTTACATTTTTTGTGATTCTAATATCTATCTTAATAGAAGACAGCCAAATTCTCCTATCTGTTTCTACATTCATCTGTTGTGAAATATTTTTGGCTAAAGTACATGAAGAAAATCCAGCTCTGCACAGACAGATGGTTGGAAAAGAGAGGGCCTTGCCGACTCTCCAGAATGGTCTCAGAGAACCTCCAGGTAGCCTCAACCACACTTCGAACTTCTGACGTGGACCAAAGGGAATGGACTGTTTCTGAGGTTTCTTTCTTTCTTTCTTTTTTTTCTTTTCTGAGTCAGAGTTTCACTCTGTCACCCAGGTTGGAGTGCAGTGGCACGCTGCTCACGGTCATTGCATCCTCAACCTGCTGGGCTCAGGCGATCCTTCCACCTCAGCGTTCCAGGCAGCTGGAACCACAGGCATGAGCCACCACACCTGGCTAATTTTTTGTTTTATTGTAGAGACGAGGTGTTACTATGTTGTTCAGCCTGGTCTCCAACCCCTGAGTTCAGGTAATCCTCTCACCTCTGCCTCCCAAAGTGCTGTGATTATAGGCTTGAGTCACTGCGCCTGACATCCAAGGTTTCTAAGAAGACTAGGTAAAGCTTTTTTTGTTGTTGTCAAAAAGAAAAAATTCAGAAACATTTTACTGAGGAATAACAAGGTTAGTAGATATAGTACCATACTCAGTAACTTGGCAAAGTAAAAACTGAACTGATGTTTAATTTCTCTTACTGTTTTAACCCTGGAAATCTATGACTAGGTAAGAAACAGATTATAACACACTTTCTAGTAAATCATAACAAAATATTTTCATTATATTCCTAAGTTATTCGATTTTGTGATTCTGCTTTATCTTGCAGGACACCAAATTTTTCTTTTTCTCCCTTTCCCTTTCTCACCACCCAGCTGCCAAAGGGCCCTTTACCCTTCCTTTATGGCCTTTTCCATCCTCGGAAGGTGTCAGTTCACCCCTTTACATATACCAGTCTGTCTGTCTGTCTATCTATCTATCTACATATAAATATGTTTCTATAAATCTATACATACACCAGTCTCTTCAAAATTCCTGCCTGCATCTTTTCATAGCATCTGGCCCTTTAAGAAGATGTGTTTCCTTTGCTATACCTACCCTGAGACATGTGGTCTGCTCTGCCCAGTTACCTCTTTCTTTTAAAAAAAAGTAACCTTAGATTTTGACTAAAATTTAATCTTTCAGGTGCTGCTCCAATTCGCCTTCAGGTCCTTTCATTAATGTTCTTCCTGTCTTCCTCCAAAGTTTCCTCAATCTCCCTTAGTTCCCCATGGAGCTCCAGAATGGTGGGGTGGGGTAGAAGACAGGTACAGGGCTAGTGTCTGGCTTCTTCCTTTCACTCACAGCTACTCTGCAATCGAGGCACTGTCTTCAAGTAATACGGAGGGTGTAGCTCTGATAGACTTTTTTCTAGCTATGAAGTTATTTCATGTTGTGTTGGAAGATTTGGGGAAGTTGTTTATTTCGCAACCTTCTTGGCCTGTAGTTTCCCAGAAGTCTTAACATTTTATTCTTAACTTTAAATAAAAGCTATCAAGTTTTTAAAAATCAGATTTTATTGAGTGGTCTTTTACCTGAATGTTTCTTCTTGGAGCTGTTCTAATTGAGTCTGAAGCTGCAAATGTCTTCTTCCTGCTGGACTGTTAGGGTCTTCTATAGAATCAGATTGATTGAGTCTTTCCATTAATACCTGATTTTCTGCCAGCAAACTACCTTTCTCCTCTTGTAATGCTGCAACCTATTGGAATACCAGAAGATAGCAGTTATTTCCTCCAATTAAACTGGCATCAGCTCAATCACCTGTGAATTACCATTATGAACTAAAGTCTATTTTTTATTGTTTTTTTCTTGGAATGGGATGGGGAGTGTGGGAGGGTCTTGAGCAGGAGAATGACACGATGTGTCTTACATTTTTATTTTATGTCTTTACTGTTAACTTTTTTTAGAGATAAAGTCTCACTCTGTCACCCAGGCTAGAGGACAATGGCATGATCACAGCATACTGCGGCCTCGACCTCCTGGGCTCAAGTGATCCTCCTCAGTATCCAGAGCAGTTGAAACTACAACACAGGTTACTGCTTCCAGCTAAACAATTCCATTTTTAGTTTACTTAAGGGTTTTGTAACCTCTGATTTTTCCTTGTTAAAATAGCATCTTTGCTGGGTACTGTGGCTCAGGCCTGTAATCCAGAACTTTGGGAGGCAGAGGTGAGAGGATTGCCTGAGTCCAGGAGTTTGAGATCTGTCTGGGCAACTTGGCGAGACCTCGTCTCTACAGCAAATCAAAAATTAGCTGGATATGGTGGTACGCGCCTGTGGTTCCAGCTACTTGGAAGGCTGTAGTGGAAGGATCACCTGAGCCTAGTAGGTCGAGGCTGCGGTAGCCATGAGTGTTCCACTGCACTCTAGCCTGGGTGACACAGTGAGGTTTCTACTAAAAAAAAAAAGGCATCTTCTCCTTATTTTATAAATGCAGTATCTTCATTGAGGGTATTAAATAGATTAAAAAGAAAAATATCTCCTACTGCCTACAATTTCTCTACTTTCTCTAGGCTAGTTTTCTGTTTATATTGCTCCTTTTCTCTTTTATAATGTAGATTTTCCTTATATTTAGAATTAATCATGATACTCAGCATTCATGGGCTTCATTTTAGTACTTATCCACAAGAAGTCGGCCATTATCTAAATCAGAGAACTCAGAAAGGCCTAAATGAAAAGGATCTTACCCTGAATTACTAATACTTACTCAAACCTCTCTACATTTCTGCTTGTTCAGTTTCTTCAGCAAATAATCCTTTAACTTGGAACCTGGCTACAGGTCAGTCTATATACAGTGAGTGACACAGTTGAGGGGCTTACCTATTCTATGTAACATCTCTGCTGTAGCCTCATTTCAGTTTCCCCCACACTTGTGAGATTGCTCTGGGGCTCCACTACAGCAGCATCCCCTCTGCCCCCGTTGGTGCTTCTATCACTGTGTTCTTTGCTTCTTTCAGCCATCTAGCACTTTTCTAACTGCCTTTTCTTTTTCAGAGATTGATGAGATTGGCGATGTGTTGGAGTTGGCTAGAACCAAGTTAACTGTTGGATGTGTAAGAGTCTTGTGAGTTGGTTGTTAAACCATTAGTAACCTAAAATTAGTCATTGTGTGAGTATTTGTACTATGGATATTGGAAAGCACTACAAATCAGGGCTTTAAAAAAAATCTCCCTCACCCCTCCAGAGAGTCAGTTTGCTAGAATACCACAAAAATTCATGTGTGCCAATTTCTTTCTTTGTCACTTTTTTTCATGTGGGTTTATACCATTTCTAGTCATTTATTATAAATTTAATGGGGGTACAGGAAGAAAAAAAAGAAAATTAACATCTTTGCTCAGTTCATTAACTTTAACCAGAACCCTGTTTCTCTTTCTTCTTTTTTCTTTCATCAGGGTTGTATTACAGTCAAGCTGTACTGTACAGCAGCACACTAGAACACCTGGTGGCACTTAAATAGGTGGCACACAGGGCAAACCTCTCACCTGCATATCCAATTCATGGCATCTTTGAGCAATTTCTTCCTTTGCTGACAAGGCTTCATTTAGTTCCTCTGTCGCTTTCTTTAACTGGTTAGAAACAAGGATATATAAACATTTTCATATGAAGCAGCAACAATTAATAATTATGATATACAACACAGAATTAAAACACCTTTTCCCTTTTCTTTCTTGGGGTGCAGGAGAGAATCAGAAACTCTTCTGTGAGAGTTAAAAGAAGGCATCTCTAATTGAATCAACTACTTTTGGCTCTAAGTCTTGTCTTTCCTGTCCTCTGAATTTGGCTCATTTTCCATTGAGTTTTCTAACACATCTTCAATCTGGACTATGTGGTTCCAGGTAATATTAATTCTGTAATACCTGAAAAATTTTACCTTAGTAAAATGTGTATGTGCTAGAGAAATAGGGGTTTCAATTGTTCAAATACATAGCTAATGCATTTAAACACAAGTTTTTAAGTCTCATTAAACCTTTATGTTAATTTGTATAGTACCATTTTTTCAAAACAGGTTTATTTTATTCTGATTCTTTATATAAACCAAACATTCCCACATTGTATCCCATTATTATACAAATTCTAAGTTAGCAAAGTATAAAAAAATTGATTAACACAGGATGTTATTGTCTCCTTTCATGTGCCCAACCTCTTTGTGGTATAGATATTAAAAAAAAAAAAAAAATTCAAGGTAGCAACTTTAAAACCAAACACCACAAAGTAAGAGAAAGACAATACAACCTGGGTTAAAATTATAGCATGTCCTAATATTTTCCTGAAAAACATTTAGAAAACATAGAGGCAGAAATGAGAGAAGAAAGCTGAGCATGGTAGCTCATGCCTGTAATCCCAGCACTTTGGGAGGCCAAGGCTGGAGGACTGCTTAAACCCAGGCATTTGAGACCACTCTAAGCAACCCAGGCATTTGAGACCACTCTAAGCAAGTAGTGAGACCACATCTCTACAAAAATAAAAAGATTAGCCAGGCATGATGGTGAGTGCCTGTAGATCCAGTAACTTGGGTTTCAGAAGTGGAAAGATCTCCTAGTTGTGATCGTGTCACTGCATTCCAGCCTGAGTGAGAGACCCAGACTCAGAAAAGGAAGGGAGGGAGGGAGGAAAGGAACGAGAGAACACAAAGAATACAAAGATTTCTGTTCATGCACTAGAAGAGACATCCAAGATAGCTTGAACATAAAAATAGACAGTACAACTGACAGTATTTCATTAAGAAGCAGTATTTAAAAGTACAAAATAAGTTTTCCATTAAAATCATAAAAATACACTGCAGAATTATTTTAAAAGCACAGTAGTTCCCTTAGAGCATCTAATTATCTACTGATTGATTGTTTACTACTTCAAGAGGTGGAAAGGTAGGAGACATCATCAACTGATAAAGTGAAATAAAAGGTAAGATATCTTTTGCATTATATATAAATCATAGGAATAAAATCATGTCATTTGTTTGGGAATGTATCTATTGGGTTAAATGTGGCATACAGATATCACTAACAGAAAAAGAACAAATGATGATTGGAAAACAGGAATCACAATAAGTTAAAGAAAATCTATTTTAAAGTGGGTTATGCAACAGTACTTTAATACAAATACATTTAATTACAAATTATAAACTTAATTATAAGTATGTAATATTCATTAGTAAAATGGCCTAAGTTCTTAACTTTTAGGTAAAATATAAAGAATCATACCAATATATTTCATAAGTGATGTCAATGGAAACATTCTTCTCATTAACACCTGAAACTCACCCTTCTGAATCTTTACACGAATAAAAACAATACAAAATTATATACCTGTCGATCAAGGTCAACATAGGCATCATTTCCAGCAGAGACAGGAGATTCTTTACTCATTAGCTGAAATTAAGATTGAGATTATTATAACTATAAGGAAAGAGACATTCTACATAATATACATACACAACAAAATGAACACCAGACATTATAGAAATATAAAAATTAAAATGGAAACACAAATGTAAAAAGGAACATTTCTCTACACATGAAAGCAACTGCACAGCAGGAGGTGAGTGGTAGGCGAACCCCAGTGAAGCGTCATCTGTATTTACAGCCACTACCCATCTGTCACAGTACTGCCTGAGCTCTGCCACCTTGCAGATCAGCTGTGGCATTAGAATCACATAGGAGTGTGAACCCTATTGTGAACTGTGCGTGCACGGGATCCAGGTCATGCTCCTTATGATAAATAATGCCTCGTGATCTGAGGTAGAGCTGAGGCGATGATGCTAGTGCCACCTCCCATCACCCCCAGATGGGACCATTTAGTTGCAGGAAAACAAGCTCAGGGCTCCCACTGATTCTGCATTATGGTGAGTTGTATAATTATTTTATTATATATTACAATGTAATAATAATAGAAATAAAGTGCACAATAAATGTAATGTGCTTGAATCATCCCCAAATCACTCCTTGCTACCAGTCCCCTCATTACACTGGTCCATGGAAAAACTGTCATCCACAAAACCAGTCCCTAATGCTAAAAAGGTTGGGACCACTGCATTACAGCTTTTGAGTCTGGAACTTCCCCCCTCACGCTTTAGGATAACGTCTTCTTTTAAAATTACATGCCTGGTGCTTATTTTCATGGTAAGTTCAGTCACGGTAAGAATCAATTATTACTCATTCTTATAAAAAAGACAAGTCATTCAATTTAAAATATGGCTAAGCATTTTTAAACAATGACTTTTCAGTAAAAATAGCAACACTAAGTACTTATTTATTTCTAAAAGAACAAATGAAGGAAACATCAACATAAACCAAAATTAACTGCCTAATGTTTAATAACATACAAACACAATCCTATATCTTAGTCTCTCTCATACTTGTGTTACATAAAGGGTATGTGAGGATAGGGGAGGAGGGGGCAGAATTCTGATGAAGACAGCAATCGGGGCAGACTCACGGCCCCTCAATCTTCTAGTGTTTCTCTAGTGCTCTCCCTGAAGGACAAAAGGGAGAGGGACAATCAGATTGTGGGAATGTAGTGTGGTGGTGCAAACCTGTAGTTTCAGCTACTCAAGAGGCTGGAGCATTAGGATTGCCTGAGTCCAAGAGTTTGAAGCTACAGTGTGCTATGGTCACGCCTGAGGACAGCCACTACACTCCAGCCTGGGCAACACAGCAAGACCCTTGTCTCTTAATAAAACAAACATGTGGATGTACTGTCAAGAAATCCCATGATTCCAGCAGCACCTCTCAATAAAAATCTAGGTATTCTACTCTGAGTAAAACCTTCTCTCATTCCAGACCTCTCCATTCAATGAAACCTGGTCCATCTATTCCTCGATGTCAGTGAGGCTTCCAGGCCTCATCCTTCTGTACCTTCTCCTTGTTCTTCAGTCTTAACCCATCACTGTTTCACTTTCTTCCTCACTTTGCCTAGACTCTGGTGAACATGACAGTTTTGCCTGCCCAAAGTTCACTCCTATTCCCTCTGCTAACATCACTACCTTAATTTTGGGAATCTCACCCTTCCTACTTTAGAGTCCATGGTTCCCCAATTGTTTATTAATCAATTACCTTCTCTAGATTTCATGTCCTATCACCTCAATGACTTTTGTCAGTATTCACAATTCTCTCTCTCTTTTTTTTTTTGAGAAAGCAGGATTTATTGAGAGGACAGAAAAGGTCCCACAGCGGGAGGGGACCCGAAGGGGTTGTCCTCAACTCTCTTTTTACCAGCAAAATCTCAATCCAAGATCAATCAAAAAGTTAATCCAACTACCTATCTCTTCTAGCCATATGCCCTGACTGCTAAGTATAGTCGTTTCTCAGTATATGTGGAGGATTAGTCCCAGGACCCTGGAGTATAGCAAAATCTGCACACACTCAAGTCCTGCAGTCAGCCCAGCTGAACCCGCATATACAAAAAGTCAACCCTTGATGTATGCAGGTTACCCATTCCACAAAGACTGCACTTTCCATTTGTATTTGGTTGAAAATCTGCATTTTAGTGGTCCTGTGCAGTTTAAACTTATGTTGTTCACAGGTCAACTGCATTAAGTAAAAATTTTTTAAATCCACAAAACTGGTGTCACTATTTTTTTTTTTTTTTGAGTTGGAGCCTCACTCTGTCGCCCAGACTAGAGTGCAATGGCCGCTCCCACTGCAGCCTCGACTTGCTGGGCTCCGGTGATCCTTCCACCTCAGCCTTCCACGTAGCTGGAACTACAGGCAGGCGCTATCACGCCCGGCTAGTTTTTTGATTTATTGTAGAGGTGAGGTCTCGCCTGCCCAGGCGGGTCTCGAACCCGCGGGCTCAGGCAATCCACTCACTTCAGCCTCCCAAAGGCACGGGATTAAAGGCTGAGCCACCGAGCCTGGCTTGGTGTCACTATTAATAGACAGTTTCCAATTTCAACTGGGCCACCCACATCAAAATTGCCTGAAAAGTATAGCCAGCAGTCTATTTTTCTTACAGACTACTCTAACCTTTTCTACTTCTCAAACCCCACTAACTTCCCCTCCACTCTCCACTAGACAATCCTGCCTCCAGATCAGATTTCCCCAGTTCCCTAAACCCTAATTTACAACACTAATGACAGGCAGGCTCACCCCTTCTTTCTTCATTCCTGTTATAACACAAGAACTACACATTTCTGTTTTCGCCCAAGGGTAATACCATACATGGGCTCTTAACTTTATCTCTTCTAGCTTCTCAAAGACCCTGTTCCATTTATTATCAATCCTCTCATATCTCAACCACTATCTCTTTCTCAGGGCTTCTTTCTATTAGCATGTAAATAGTTAAAAGACCACCATTTACTTGAATAAACATTTCTCAAAAGATAGGAATGGCCAATAAGCACATAAGAAGATGCTCTACATCATTAGTCATTAAATCAAAACTACAATGAGATACTACTTCATACCCACTAGGATGGCACTTATCAAAAAGATGTGAGAATATGGAGAAATCAGAACACTAGTGCACTGCTGGTGAGAATGTAAAATGGTGCAGCCGCCGTGGAAAACAGGTTGGTGTTTCCTCAGTTAAATGTAGAATTATCATATGACTCAGCAATTCCAATTCTGGATATATATCCAAAAGATGTGAAAACAGATGTTAGAAAAATATGCACTCATGTTCATAGCAGCATTATTAGTAACAGCCAACAGGTGGAAATAACCCAAATGTCCACCAACTGATAAATGGATAAGCAAAATGTAGGTATAATACAATGGGATATTATTCAACCATAAAAAGAAACAAAGTAATGATACATGCTACAACAAACCTTGAAAGCATTATGCTAAATGAAAGAAACCAAACACAAAAGGCCACATATTATATGATTCCATTTATATAAAATATTCCAAATAGGCACACCCACAGAGACAGAATGCAGATTACTGGTTGCCTGGGTCCTGAGGAAAGAGGAAATGTGGAGTGACTGCTTAGTGGGTAAAGTTGCCTTTTGCAGTGATGAAAAAGTTCTTAAATAAATAGTGGTAATGTCTGCACAACATGGTAATGCACTAAAATGTCTTGAATGGTAAATTTTATGTTATGTGTAATAAACTACAATTTAAAAAGTCAGTCAGTAGTCCCTGAATAAAAACATAAGCAGAATATGCCTTAACAATAAAAAAGAGTACCATCTAACAAAAGTTCTTCTCCAATTCCATAATTTACACAGCTGTCCCCTTGCCTTCCCCAGGTCCAGTTGCCAACTCCACTGACTTTCAAATTTGTCCACTTCTCTCCATCCCAAATGCCTTAACCTAGTTCAGGCTCCACTAGTCTTCACTGGAGAATTACCAAGGTCTCTTAATTGGTCTCCTCTCTTTTCCCTAGGCTTGTTTTCCTCCAATCTATTCTTCCCCATTGCACAATTTTCTCAAATACAGACCTCAATGTATTTTCTCCTTGATATATTCTCCTCAACGTATTTTCTCATTGATTTCCAAAATTATAACTCATAGCACAACTTCCTAATGCTCTAATAATCTTATGTCTCTTATATCATCTCCGAGTGCTTCCTACTTCACACCATTGGCTACAGGCATTCTTCTTTCAATGCCTGCATCATGCCATGCAGTTCTTGCTCTCTCTCACTTCCTAGCATTGAGAACAATGTGCCTCCATTCCTGCATATCATCCTGAGCACTTGGCCTGGCTTCCTCTGAAAAGCCTTACCTAATTCCTTGAAAGAGGAATTAAGTGCTCCCTTCAAGTGCCCCTATATTTTTTCCTATCACAGTACTTTGCATACTATATTTGAAATGCTAATTTAACCATTTCCACTGTGAGATTTAGGCTTTGTGAGGCAAGAGACTACATCTGTCTGTCTCATAGTTGTCTCTGGTGCCTACAACAGTGCCTGGTGGATAGTGGGTACTCAATAAGTATTTGCTAAATGAACAAAATGAGTATATACATAATAGACATATAATCTATTACAAACCTAATTGAGATTTTATTGTACATAAAATTTTAAAACTTGTTCTGTTCATGTGACATTTAAAATTTTTCCCTCTGTCCTAAGATACCCTTTTTTCCCCATATTTTTTTTAATCAGGTACATAATACTCCATTGGATGGAGGCACCATAATTTAAACATTAGTTTACCAATGAATATACATTGTTTTCACATTGCTGTTAATATAAAATAATCTCATAAACATTATTGTACCTAATCTTGGTCTGATTTTTAAAATAATTCCTTGGGATAGAGTAACATTATAAAAATCACTTGGTCACAGATTTTAATTTAAAGTATTTCTGACCAGGCATGGTGGCTCACACCAGTAATCCTGGCACTTTGAGAGGTGGAGGCAAGAAGATCGCTTGAGTCCAGGAGTTTAAGACCAGACTAGGCAACATAGCGAGACC